CTGCTGCCACAACGCTCAAGGTGCCTTGAAGAAGACAGCTCTGAGGTTTCTGCATGAGAATAGCATCTTGCATGAGATACGACTCCCCATTGTTGTCATAAACCTCAGATGTTCCACTAGCCATATTGACTGCCAAGGTGAAGGAGGAGATGCCTGAAGAGGCCGGGATTTCAACATCAATCGGGAACCACTACAATTCGCGTTAAAAGGGGGGGCCTGGACACAATGTAAGGATATTTGAACTCACCACGAATGTGTCATCAAAACCTTGGGTAGCACCCAGGAGGTCAGCAGTATATGTGCAACCCAAGTTACCGCAATTGTCGCCGCCGGTTCGGTCCTTGTAGGTCAGCAAGACACTCTCGGCAGAGTCATCTCCAAATTCAGTGGTGCGGACTCGGATCAGCCCAGATAGTTGCATAGTCGAAGCTCCAGCGTTCAGCGTAAGCTGCATATCGACTGGCTTGACGGCGTAGGGTTGAATGGGATCAGTAAGAACAACCCCATCGGGGACAACCTCGATCATTTTGCGCAACACTGTGGCGCAAATGCTGCTGAAGGTCTCCGGATCTGCCAGAGCAGCCATCGTCTCGTTTCCATCCACGTTGAAGACTTTAAAGTCGGCGTTTCGTGTGGCCCGGATCGAAGGGCCGACGACCATAGGATTCTTTGTAGTGCCTGAAATGTATTCGGTGACGATCTTATTGTCAAAAACATCCACACTGGAGTCCATTGGCCCCTCGCCGTCCTCCGTGCTACCCACTGGGACAATTTCAGGGAACTCGGTCTCGTGAACGCCACCGATACTGTGGCCGCACGCAACAACCTGGATCATCTCAGTCTGACTGAAGCCCATGCGTGTGAACTGCTGTTCGAATGTGAAGGCTGAATTCTGGGGCAAAGGAACACCAATGGGGCCACTTTCTTTCGCATCAATTCTTCCGCTGGCGATGGGAACGACGGGGCCACCACAAGATCTCACGGCATAGTTTACACCCAAAGCAAGAAGATCGGCCACACCTGATCTGCTTGTGTAATAATCAGCCATGAACTTGAGCGTCGTATTAAATGCCGGACCAATGTTGTCGGAGCTCATCAGTTCATATTGCAATGATCCGTCCATGCCACCCTGTCGGCCATCGAAAATAGTGGTAGTTGCCATATCATGAAAAGCAGCTCTCAGCCACTCTGCGGCATTGTGACGACCAGGCCCCGAAGCTTGACTTGAGCAGGGTATAACTGTTCCGCCGAATTGTCGAGAGCGGTACCCTTTCACCTGATACATGATCTCTTCTAACTCGTCGATCTGAGATGGCCAAGTTGGGTCTGCACTCGCCACCATGCTCAGCGAGAGCATCCCCGACAGGAAACGTGTATGCCAACGCATGGCGAGGACTTGTCCCAGTACGAAGCTAGGATAAAGTATTAATAATTAAAGGATTAATGACAGACAACCATATATCCTGTGCCTGGTCTGACTGAACCAGTGAGATTGGTGCAGACAGAGCATCGTCTCAGACAGACTCAGCACGAGACGAGGAAGAGAATGTCTTTAAATATCTACAGTCATCTTGCTACGGATGGGCTTGGAGCAGCCATGACCCGTCATCCAATATCTACCCGCTGATAATCTGGGCTTTGTCGATCCCTGTCGTGTACCAAAGCAGCGCAGATAGAATACGAGAATTGAGAGTAAGTGGCTAATAGGTAAGACGGGATTGGGCCAAGCTGCTGCTGAGCGTCCAGCCGCAGAGGTAGAACGATCGACTAATGCAGGCCAGGATGGAGACCGAGACATGTCGTACCTCTTAACAGCAGTGTGGGCGTAGTTGTAGCGTAGCGAAGCATGCAGCCTCAAAGGAGGAAAATTAGACATGGGCATATTATTATACCTAATGCTACCTAAGGATCCACACGTGGGATTCCGAGATTCTCAGGGTCCACGGGACCTACCGAACCGAAGACCTCTCCCGAGCCATGCCCCATCAGGTCCTGGTTACCCGCTGATCATGTTGATTAGCATTGAGGCTCTTCGACGTTGTTGTCAAAGACAATGACTAAGACAGCGTAATACCGATTTCCTCAACCCTTCGCGGGCGAGAAAAGTGCCGCTTTACGTCGTCGCATCGTCGAACGACCCTCAACAAACTCATCAGCTTGGCGTGCAGATACGTGGCGTCGTTATGAATGGAACGCTCATGCTCGTCTAAGTCTCATCTAAGGTAGCCGAGAAGATACCGTACAGCCGCTGTAGGCACCCCAGAACGCAACCAGACCTCCAGCACTGTGGGGTGCGATCTCGTTAAACAACGGTCGGTACCTGAGATGGTGGATGGATGGATGGTCAGGTGATAGTAAAATGCTTCTCAGTAGAATTTCTTTTTCAGCTTCTCAATACGTACTTCACTCCGAGTTGGGCAGGTATGACAGAACAACATCGAATGGCTTATCCCGCTCTGGTCCCGCGTTGTGGTCTTATCGCATTCGAGGGGATGTCGCCCTCCACTGCACTAATTATATGTTCAACAAGGGACGTTTATGCCGAGGAAACGATCTTCACTAACAGGTAGGTTTTAAGCATTATTTACCAGTTAGCAGCCTTTTGATCGTCAAGGTACCTACCTCCCAAGTCATACCAATATTTGCCAAGCCAGCACGAACCGTAATAGTCGAGAACGGGATGTAAGTTGCTAGAATAAGAATGTATTATGGTTCGACGAACTGGGCGAATATTGGTAGCTACATGGCTGCCATTTGGAAACCCTTGGGGTGTATTGTAAGACATGGGTAACCACCTACACTAGACACCCTTGTCAGCGGGTTCATCTGGCTAGACTGCGCTGGATCTTTCTGTTGGTGGTCAGCTCGGAGAAAAATTCCACGCTACAGTTGATGTTGCAATTAAGGGAACCGACGTGGCATCTTGTTGAGCATATGTCACTCGTAGCTACCTGAAATTTTACAAGCGTCGTGTCAATTCAAGATGTATGCTATCAAGAAAGGATTCGTGGGTTCCGGCCAAAGCAGGCCGTTGGCGCGTCAAGACTTTGATTCTTGAGATCTCCTCGATATGCGTCACAAGTAAGTCCTGTACCTACCATTAGCAGTCGAAAGGAGACATAAGCCTACGCATACCTAGCTGTAGCAATAGGCAAGTTACAATCGGTCAAGTCTATTCCGAGACGAATTCATAACTGCTATCTAGACCGACCAGCTTCGGAAACTTAGTTTCGGGAAGCCATTGAGCGCGGCGTGAATTGTGTTTCATGGTAACTTTCTCTAAGCCATTCCTAGAAACGCCAGGTCATGATTTATATAGAAACGCACAAATTAGAACCTGGATTCCTTAGGAAATTTATGTTTAGGAATTATGGCTAGTGAGGGAGTTGAGGTAGTGTGGAATATAGATGTCCCGCAGTAGCAATTGTTATACAAAGAAAGGTCGGGTTGAGGTTGAGAGGAGCCGAAAGAAAACAAAATGGAGTGACTATTAGCGGAGTTCATGTTATAACCCACTATTCAGGTACACCACCGCGCCCGTGCGTGCCGACGTTAGTTAGGTGTAAGTTACCTAGATCCTTGTTGGTCGCTTAGGACCTACCTAACCTAGGCAGTTAGCTAGATGCACCGTTCTCGATGCTACACTACGAAGTACATGGTAGTATGTGAACAACAGCGAGAGGTACTGTAGGTGTTCGCAGTCCCAGGACATCGACATCATACCTACTAAACTATCGCAACATAAGTCTAAGTCTACCGGGCCACCCGGGCCATAGATCGCTACTTGCAGCCTTGCCAATAAAGTGTCAGCAATGAAGGGAGTGATTGCAACTACAACATGCAGTGCCCAACGATGTTTCCGACACGGCATTGGCCTAGACCGTTATTGTAACCCAAATCGAAGAGCTGATGACACCGCCCTGGAATCCGTTCCGAGACAGGTACTGAGTTCTTCGACGGTGACCGATTGAGGAGGAATCGTACAAACATGTCAGGAGGATAATTGGTTACTCGCCCCCCTCACGCTCATCCCATTCCACATAGCTCGTGTCACCGATGTGATAAAGCTACATGACAAGATGGAAGAAGTATGATCCTACGGTAATACTCACCCACCTTCACTTAGAGTTTAACGACCAAATAGGTAGGTAGTCTGTCTGAACGTGGATGAGGAAAGGCTGCCGTTGGTTATTGAGTGAGACTATCACTTACAGCTGGTGACCTATTGCCCATCCATGGCGTCAATAGTATCTTATGCAGTTAAGGTCTCCGTTAAACACTCACGAGCTGGAGGTTTAAACCCGATTATATGCGGGACAGGCGAAACATGGGGCAAGGTATTAGACAGCGCCTAGATTCTACCCCCACGGTAGACTCTGCTCAACTTACACTATTACATCTAACAGCATCAAGGAGAGTACCTAGCTAATGACAGAAGATCGAATATCATGCAGATTTACCCAACATGGAAGAACATTAGAGCCATGACGATCACATCAAAATTGATTACCTGTCCGCTGTTACAAAATGTGTCGTGAGCCTCGCTTGAGTTTGAGCCTGCAGCTTACCATCATTAGTAAGGTAATGAATTGATCATGATAATTTCGGTAACAAAGAATTTGGCCAGGACTCTTCGAAGGGGCTTAAGCACTGACTTACCTCTATATCTTCTGTCAGGCTCTTAATTCAAAGGACTTTTCCTAGAAAGGCTTCTCAAGAGGTACGCTCTAAGTGATTCAACTCCTCATCACGTGCGCAGTGCAGCCATCAGCCAAATCGCGATGGCTTCATAGCAAGCCCCTCCAACCCCACCATCACCCGGCAGTAAAACCACCAAAAAGCTCCTACTGCAGTTCGGACTAGACTATAATACTCCTCGTTTGATTTCTTATCTTATTATTATTTGCGTTTGTCGACAACTAGTAGCTACCTACACAAATAAAAGCTGAATGGATCAAACAAGTAAGAACTGAAAAAAAAATAATGCGTTCTAAAAATAACTCCGAATCGGGGAATCGAACCCCGGGCTTGACGGCACTTTGCGATCTTACACATCAGTGTGCGATAATTGAGAGCGTCAAATGTTAGCCACTACACCAATTCGGATGGTTGTCGGCGAGACTTTAGCTTGGACTAGGTATACTGTCTGGTTGTGTGGGTAACGTGATAGCAGAAGAGGGGCTGAACCCCGCCGCTGCGGTTCAAATTTCCGAACTCCGATTGCGCCACGCCGAGTCGACGTCATCCTTGATTATACCTAAACCTGTTGTCAACGGTCGATTTAGACATTCATGATTGAACTAAGCAATGGATATAATCACAGTGCTCTTCTACAGATCTTTCGTTGGCAGAAATAATATCGGTTACGACCTCATGTGAACATTCTATTTGAATTTACATAGCATCTTAGTCGCTATAGGTGCTATTCTAGGTACCAGGCACCTAAGTTTGCGTACCTACCTGGTAATGTACAATTGGAAGTACCATATGTGTAGAAGCCGCAGGCTGGATAAACTTCGGGGCAGGTGGTGAGGCGTAGACCAACTTTATGTCCTTGTCCATGCTGGGCTTACTCCACTCTTTTGTCGTCTCCTGGTTCCGCCTTGTTATCTCGTCACTCGCTTCGTCTCATCCCCTCTGTTAATCCATCACATCTCAACCTAGTCCTACCCAGACATACTTACTCTCAACTCACCATCTTTCGGATCGCTTGAAAGCCCGGTGTTATAGATGTCCATCGAGAATCTTAAGTCATTCGGTAAGCACCGCGCCTAGAGGCTAATCCCCTCTCAACCCCGCTAATGCGTACGCCTAGACCCCTTCCATGATGCTGAAGCAGACGAGGACACGAGCCAGGTGAAGAGTCAGCAAGAAGACTACGTTCACATTCGGATCCAGCGTTAGTGCTCCCCGTCATGGTGCTTCTTTCCTTTTGCGCGGCACGACTGACCAACGCACAGAACGCAATGGCCGCAAGACCTTGGTTAGTCCGTCCCCTGAAGTTTTTAATTCCCCCTTTTGACACATCTGAGAATCATAAACTGCCTCAGTGGGCCATTTCTGCTCTTGCTACTCCTGCAAGCTTGAGTAATTCTTACCGTAAGTGGACATTATTGACGCCAGTGTTATAACAGACCACCGTCCAGGGGTTGCCCAACAAGTTTGACCGAAAGAAGATTCTTACTGTCATCAAGAAGAAATTTGCTTGCAATGGCACCGTCGTTATAGACAGTAACATGGGCGAAGTCATTCAACTACAAGGCGACCAGCGCAAAGTTATGCGTGAGTAGCCCCGTGGACACTTCTGGCAGCTACATTAGACGACTAACATGACGTAGAGGAATTCTTGATCGGACGGGACGGCCTGGAGCTTGACCCCAAGAAAATCAAGGTTCACGGCTTCTAGTCGAAACCTAGCGTTCTGAGCGCTGATACTGGTGATCTACTCGGGATCTACTCGGGATCCCCTCGGCGACAGTTATCGTGGGTACATTACGGTCACGAGAGTATCGCTGGGATTGACGTCCACGTTTCGTTTGCAGGTTGCGGGTATTGAAGGGCTATGGTACATAGTCTCCACAGAAGAGTCATGGCCAACCATGGATCCAAATCTCACTTTGCGCCGTTCAGTTGATATATATGATCAACAGCTTTATCCTCATTCTTATTGCTTCCTACTACCTACCGATTGTTGAGAATAAGGTTGTGGCCAAGTGTGAATACGAATAGCGACTGACTTCAGCCAAAGTAGTACTGTCTGGCTTTCCACATCCATGTTCGCCAGGAACCCTACCCAGATATCTTATATACCTAAGTAGTTGCGATTTTAGCTGCAACTTGAGGAATAAACCTGTGAGCTCACGACTGTATCAAGAAGATAGCTTGGCGTATGCGTAGCTTGAAGCAATACCGTAGCGGGCCAGGGGGGGTATACGAAATAGTTATAGGGCACGTTTTAGGATTTAACACCATGAGGTATATGTAACAGGGTTATAAGTAGGGAATATTCTGTCTAGTAGCCATATAGCATTAAAATCAAGTCGCGACTCCTTATACAAATAGGTACATAGTACTAACAGACCTAAAATTATATAGGAACAGTATCCCAGAGATCAGGCTGTCTATAGGTACTAGTACAGGGACTGTAACATCCTGTTCCCTTACAATATTGTGAGCAGCTATATATATTATAAGCAAACAACTCTTTTGAGCATATAATGTAACTCTTTTTTTTATTTTACAATATTCTACAAAAGCTGCAAAACGTTCCGCTAAAGTTCCAAACTCTGAATCAATTGCACTAGCCTCCTTAGTATTTAAAGTAGTAGTTGTAGTAGTATAGATTTAAGTAGTAGGCTATTGATCGGAAGGTTTATGGATCGCAAGAAACAACCTTGCAAAATTAGAGGCTATAATAAGTGCTGTAGCAGTAAGTAGGAGTAGGTAGAAGTAGGTAGGAGTAGGTGGGAAGTAAGTAGTTGTAAGTAGTTGTAGGTAGGAGTAAGTCGGAGTACCTAGTAGTAGGAATAGTACTATAGCCCCTACCTACTTTTACAACTACCTACAACTACCTACAACCACCTACAACTACCTATTCCCACCTACTCCCACCTACTCCCACCTACTCCTACCTACTCCTACCTACTCCTACTGATAAGTGCGCCTAGGGGTAGAATTCTGTTATATTACGAAGATGGAGAAGAAAGGTCTCCAGAGAGTCTACAGAATCTATCTATCTAGGTGTGGGTGGTTATTCTGTGGGCCAGGTGCTGTCACCTGCCCTAGGGCTCATGGCAGGGCTCCTGCCATGACCCTCTCAATTGGTACGTGCCCACGTACCAATGTACCCCCTCTATGCGACCGTATCACCTACCTACTCCTACCTACTCCTATAATTCTTGTAAGAGTATAATCCTTATAAAAGGCACAAGGCTTATAAAGGTACAATTATTCCAAAATTTCATTATTGTTTCCTAGCGATTAGGATTCTTTTTTTTAAAATTATTATAAGAGAACACTACTTTTGAAAAGTAAAAATCCTTATAATTTACTACTGTTGCTATACCTTAACAAAGTTACAATTCTGTTTTTGAATAATGGTTTTGGTTTTTGAGAAGCATCTCCACAATCCTTTTATATACCCCCCCTAATCTGGTACGGTAATCATGTGAAATAAGAACAACAACCGAGTACCAAAACCTACCTACATGTAGTACTACCTGTACCTAGGTACATACAAGTACCTCTACCCACATGCCCGCACTGTACTACGAGCCAATATGAAGACACCGCTCAGCGGACCGGGAGACATTCTTGACAGCTGGCACTGTCAGTGCAGACGAACCGAACTAACCCTCCACTCCCACACAAAATCAATTTGCGGATCTCAATTGACACTTTTCGACTCGAGATCATCACCAACGGAATTTCTCCCGACCATCCACCACCAAGTCGAGGTACGCACGCTGTGTATGCCACAGAATTAGGGCCTTACTCGTTCAGTCCTGCCCTAAATTCTGCCCTCTACCCTTCGTCGTATTGTCGTCTCCTTACTAACATCCCGCTTCGACACAGCCCAGCGACTTCAAGATGGCTTCGAGACCAACCGTCACCATCATTAGCAAAGATGGTACTCCTTCGGGAGCTACCCATCCTATTCCCACCGTCTTCTCCTCTCCCATCCGACCCGATATCGTCCAGCAGGTTCACACCGGCATGGCCAAGAACAAGCGCCAGCCATACGCCGTGAGCGAGAAGGCCGGTCACCAAACCTCTGCCGAGTCGTGGGGAACTGGTTAGTCGCCCATTCTTTTTTTTGGATTTGGAGGCTGTGGGACGAGATTGGCATTCGCAGAGGCTAGGGCTGCCATCGGATTGTACAGGAGCCAGCTAGTAGTCTGAAATAGCTGCTGACAGTGGTGCCTAGGTCGTGCTGTCGCCCGTATTCCTCGTGTCTCTGGTGGCGGTACTCACCGTGCTGGTCAGGCTGCTTTCGGTAACATGTGTCGTTCCGGTCGCATGTTCGCCCCTACCAAGACCTGGCGCAAGTGGCACATCAAGATTAACCAGGGCCAGAAGTGAGTATAGACGTTTGGTGCACTTTCACTACAAATTTCATTGGGAACTAACCATGAGAAGGCGATTCGCTACTGCCTCCGCCCTCGCTGCCTCCGCCGTTGCTCCCCTTCTCCTGGCTCGTGGTCACCAGATCTCGACCGTTCCCGAGGTTCCCCTAGTTGTCGACTCCGCCGTCTTCGAGGGAGGTGCTGCTGCTAAGACGGCCAATGCCTTCGCTATCCTGTCCGCTATCGGTGCCTCAACCGATATTATTAAGGCTAAGAAGTCCAAGAAGCTGCGAGCTGGAAAGGGCAAGCTGCGCGGTCGTCGTCATCGCCAGAGACGTGGACCCCTAGTGATCTACGACCCCGAGGTTGATGGCTCCGAGCTCGTCAAGGGCACCCGTAACCTGCCCGGCGTTGAGACTTGCTCTGTTTACGCTCTCAACCTTCTTCAGCTAGCCCCTGGTGGCCATCTCGGCCGATTTATTGTCTGGACTTCGGCTGCTTTCAAGGCCCTTGACAGCATCTACGGCACCACCACGACGCCGTCCGAGCTCAAGAAGGACTTCCTCCTGCCGTCCAACCTTGTCGCCCAAGCCGACCTGAGCCGTTTGATCAACAGCTCCGAAATCCAGAGCGTCCTCCGCGCCCCCAAGGGTGGCTCGGTGACAAAGCGCTCCGGCATCCAGAAGAATCCTCTGCGCAACAAGCAGGTCATGCTGCGCTTCAACCCCTACCATGCGACGTTCGTCAAGAAGGAGCTCGGCCAGCAGAAGAAGGAGGCTGGAAAGCCACCTAAGACGGCCGAGACCTTCCTCAGCGTCTTGAAGGAGGATTAAGTTAGACAAGCTTGGTGAGCAGCTTGTCTAAGGGAGAACGGATAAGAAGAAAGCATCGGGTCATGATTGTCTTGGGCGTAATGGGTTCATAGGGTCTGATGAATCAATGGAATTGTTGTTACGAACATTTCTTCGCCCCAACCTACATTGGTATTTTTTATCTCTTGTGCCGTGAATTTTCTTCCCTCTCAATTGTCTAATGAGTGAC